TTCCGACGTCTGATTTCATTTTAATTATAGGAAATGCGTTTTTCTCAGGTACATAAACTTTTGTGGTTGACTGTATAGCCAATACATCCTTAAAATGGTGCGAGTGTTCGAGATTAACAATTATATCTGTAGGATTAGGTTTGAAATCTTAATTGATTTAATTAGGTTTATTGCCTAAATAATGCAGCTAACGAGCCAGAAATCTATAATGCAGGTCTCTGCACAGGAACATTCCCATTATTGTACGGTAATTAGCGTATTTAGTTTCAACTGATCCACGTATTTAGAAATTACGCGACATGGTCGGTTACTGAACATACGAGTTATTTGATACTATGATGTCCGTGGGCTGGCTCTCGTAATCATCGTGAGAGCCGCTATTGTGCCGGATAGTTGGCTGATACGTTGCGAAGATTATTACCCTTGGCACGTATTCGTGTCCCGTTCTAAAAATCCGCTTGGGTGCTCACTTCTAAACCGTCCATACCGAATCGCTCATATGTATTTCGAAAATAACAGATTCAGCAGGAGAATGAGAAGCGAGATCGATAAAATGTAAAATCTCCTCTGAAGAATCTTTGCACACTTATTGTTAGCACAGGGATCAATCGATACACAATTTGCCTTGGTTATAAAGTAGCTTTGGGAGAAAGATTCAGTAAGATGGTAGCGTGTCGGACAGTCATTGATCTTCGGGACCATTGTCGAACCTCGGATAATTTCTCGTTCGGCGTTGCAGCGATTTCCCTTCTTTTCTCGCCCCTTTTCTCCCGGCTCGACAAAAGAGGATCCTCCCGTTCCGCCTTGTACGTCTTCGACTACACTCGTACGAAGTCCGATCACGTTTTCATGCTTGTTCTCGGCTACCAGCTACCTCGAGGATTCGATATAGGAGTTCACCGAGTATGGAGTGCATCGTCCTTTAATACTCTTACCTCGACGCGACGCGTCGCGTATATCGACGAAGATTTCTTCCTTCATCGTGGAAATCGATGAACATTCGACCGCAGCTGCGCGTATATGAATTCTGCACGTAACGAGAATGAATCCGTCGGATCCAATTGATTGAAAATAAGTATACTTTTAAATCCAGGCAAATGTAGATGAAAATTTTAGAGCCTGTATAGAGTTCGAGTATTTAGAAGAGAAGCAAATGCGGATCGTGTTTGAACAAGCTGTTTGACCAATTCATGGGTCGTGTGCGTAACGAGTGTACAGAACTTATCATAATATTCTAATTGAGGCATTCGTCAAGTTTGTCGCGAATACATATCCCATTGACGTTCAGTTGTTTACAATTTGAACTGTGAGTTGTTCTTGTTAATATTTTTGACAACACGTCATCCATGTTTCCCTTATTAATCATAATTTCTACGTACGTCTGTTGGTGAGTAATTCACGACGTCAATCAATATCTGATATAGTATA